CAGCTTTGAGAGTCCTAACACAGGAAGGATGTGGACCTGCTCAAGCAAGCCCAGAGGAGGACCAGGTAGATCCTGGAGGATGAAGCACCTCCCATATGAGAACAGGCTGAGAGAGTTGAGGTTGCTCACTCTAGAGATAAGGGTCCAAGAGAACTTAGGATAGCCTTCCAGTACTGAAAAGGGACTCACAGAAAAGCTGGAAAGAGCCTTTTTCCAAAGGCCTGTTTCCTCAAGGAAATTGACTTTAAACTGAAAAAGGGCAAGTTCAGATTACACCTAAGGAAGAACTGTGGGGTGCTGAGTCACTGGAATAGAGAGCTTGCCAGAGAACTTCTGGGTGCTGCATCACTGAAGGAGTTCAAGACAAGCCTGGATGGGGATTTAAACAACCCAGTGTAGTGGAAGGTGTCCTGCCCTTGCCAGGGAGTTTGGAAATACATGATCCCATCCAAAGGTCCCATCCCATCCTATCAATTGAAAAAAACTCATGAGCTCCTTGATATGGACATTATGATGTGAAAAATTGCATCAACGGTTTTTGCAATTCCATGTTTCACAACACGTAGATACAGGAACATAAAAGAGCAATTAAATACAAAGGTCTCCAATTTGTCTTTGTCTCTGTTCTGTTGGTACTGCCTTCAGAGTGCGAATGCTGAGCTTCAGGAACAATGCCGAGTCCGAACACTAGAACACCTTTTTGGTAGTCAGCTGGCTATGCCATTGCTTAGTCAGAGAGGAAACAGTCCAGTATCTAAGAGAGAACAGGCTAAAATTGAGCTGTGACGTGCAGGATAAGACCCTCCTTGGATATCGAAACAAGGCAGCAAGGGCACATTGAGCTTCAAAAGCCAGAGTGCTTCTAATCCTCCAGGAAAGCAATGAATCTGAAACTGATTCTTTTTATGAAAACATCCAGTTATTGTATTGACTTTTTCAGAGAGGGCAGACGATGAGTTTTCTGTAGAATTTAATGAAGTATCACCAGAGATGAAATTACATAATATGAAATCTTTAGGCAAGATTGAAAGAGCACATTTTGTATTTCCAGAATGGTAAGATTTCCTTGCAGCTTCACATTTCCTAACAAACCCTGAAGTGAAAACGATGTCTCTCCATAAATCCTACTGTATACTTTAGACAGGAAGCTGCTTTATGTTCACATTCATATGGTTTTAAAGCACTAAAATAGTATCCACAAAATTTTCTGAAGCATTTCATTTTTTAGTAAATCTGTAAATAGTTGTAAGGAGTGGTAAGCCTTTTGTATTTGCAAGGGCAGAAAATCTCAGGCAGCAAATACAATCTAAGAAAAAAGAAAGTGTATTGCAGGTGCTGATCATTGACTTGGAGAAGATCAGAAGGTTCTTTGCACATGAAAAAAAAAAACCACATCACCGGCAGCCACAAGTTTGAAAGGAATATTGCAGCATGCTTGTCATATTCAGTTTATTTTCTCTGTGTCTCTGTATGTTTTTTTTTCTTAACAGTACTTTTTTGAATGTATGTTTTTTTCTTAGCAGTACTTTTTTGAATTTATGACTGAAATCAAAATGCAATATTTATTTCCACAGAATATGCATGCAAGGCTTGACGTAAAAGGAAATTGTTTTCAAGCAAAAGCTCAGACAAGTTAAACATGTAAAAGTTTCATTTAATTGCTTTATGTGAAAGACACTTTCGGGCAAGGCTTGTTAGATCTGTTGCACCTTTTAAAATGGAATATCATGTCTTGCATATCTTAATTTTGTTGAATACCATTAATCCCAGGAAGCAGCCATTGAAGCCTTTGGAAAGGGGAAGGTAAAAAAAGTTTATATTTTAAAGGGAAGGTTATAGTTGAGGTTAATTCAGGGTGTCGTGGAAGTGTGTCTGTGACAAGATTTAGTGACAATGTAAGGCCAAATTAATGCAAGATCAGTGGCCTGACTATTGATTCTTATCATGGGATCCTGCTGAAATGAAGTCATTATTTAATTATACTTTTACTTACACTATAAATGGTTCCCAGAATAGACTGCACTTGATTTTGATGTCTGAAGCTCCATCTTCACTTTTCCTTTGTGCCCATAAATAAGTAGAGAATGAATATAAGCACTCCACAAAATTTTCATTTATTATACTTCACATGCTGTCATTTTCCCAGTGTTTCGATTCTTGCATTCAGAATACTTTGTGATATCAAATAATTCTGGATACAGAAGCCTCTGAAGATTGTGAAACCAATATTTCTCTAGATTTAATTTTTAAAAATCAGTATTTGAATGGTTTTCTTCTCGAGTGATTTAAAATACTTTCTTTTATTATCTCTTGAAGTAGACTAAACTTACTCTTCATACTAAAAGAAGTAACTTAGCTGGGACCTAGAGGAAGCTAATAAGTGCTTTATGGGGACTTAAGATACAACAGCAAGGGCTTTGCTATAGAATAAATATGGGGAAGTTCAAGCACCTACAAAATATCAGCAATATCCACTGAACAGTCAAAATGGTACTGTTTCCCTATTTTATATTATCAATTATCCCAACCTAAACCCTCCCTGACACAACTCCAGGTCATTCCCTCAGTCCTGTCACCGGTCACCATAGAGAAGAGATCAGTGTCTGCCCTTTCTCTTCCCCCCCATGAGGAAGTTGTAACTGCAATGGGATCACTCCCCAGTCTCCTCCAGACTGAACAGACCAAGTGACCTCAGCCACTCCTCATGTAGCTTCCCCTCTAGATCCTTCACCACCTTTGTGACACGGCCTTTGGACACCTCTAATAGCTCTATATATTTCTTTTATTGTGGTGCCCAAAACTATAAGCAGGATTTGAGGAGAGGCTGCACCAACTAAGAATATAGCAGAACAATTACCATCTGATAATTCCAATTAATCAGATAAAGGGAATAAAATTATTTTTTTTAGTTTTGATCAAAGCAATGAGTAAAATCAATCTGCAGAATTTATTCTGATTTTCATTATATCCCACCATATTTACAAAAACTTCATGTCCACAGCTCCTTTTTTTGTTTTGTACACTGTATTTTTTTTTCTTTTTAAATAAAATAATATAAACCTAGATATTTTACAGAGCATAAAAGATAAATATGTAATGAAACAAACCCAGCCTCTGCAAGACTGTACTGTACTCTAACATATCTAACTCTTACTTAGCTCACATTGTGGACTTTTCTACTTAGAACATTATTCTCTTTTTAAAACTTCTCTTATGAGAGAGAAACAGGAAAATAAACTTCTTAGATGAGCACGTAATTAAATAGCTTTCTTTAACAACCGTCTCTAGTTATCACTTGGTATTTAGGCATTCAAAAAATAAACAAATAAAATGCTGTGCATAAGGGGTTTGCTTGCTCACATGCATGCTCATAGCCATTAAATGATAATATAGCAAGATCATTATGTTAAAACCCATAATACTGAAGAAATTTCTTTTTTTGTCTGGTGCACCTATGTCCATAAGTAAGAGTGTTAAAATTTTCAGATTTTCAACTACTACAGCGGGAATATATACTTTTCAATTTAAGTGATAATATGTATTTTGTTAATGCTTTTCTTCTGAATGAAGAAATCCAGCTTTAGTGAAATTCTTTCTGGTTCAGCTTGTCTTTCAGTGCCCTTGACAACTGTAGGGTAAAAGAGAGAAGTGGGAAGAGAGGCTGATTCCTGCGCTTCAGGATTTCAGTCTTGGCTAAGTGTGTTTTCTTTCATCTTTTTTTTTTTTCTTTTTTTTCCATTTTTTACCTTTTTGTCATTGTTATAGGTGCCCAGCAGTATTTTTATTCCATCTCTAGAGCAGAAATATCACTGATCTCACCATTTTGTAAGTCTGTCCACACAGCTAGTCAGAAGTCTTACGGGTAGAACAAGATATAGGAACAGGAACAAGAACCCACTTCCTGGAGTCATCTTGCACATGGGAGCATTTCTGCAACATTATTTTTTACATTTTTGTTCCAATGTTATTTGCCAAAGCTGTCTTTTTGAAGCAGTGCTGATTTCACAGTGGTATTCCTTTTGTCTTCTTCACTCAAGGTGAATATTTCTGCACTGAGGACATCTCTCCTATCTTGTGAAATACCTTTGTGTTTTGGACACGACAGACTTTCCTTACTTTTAAAAGGTTTTGAAAGACGCTGTGGTAGAGCAGCTGACAGTTCATCCATACCGGAGATGATAAGGATGAGACATCATTCTGCAGGCATTATAAATGGATATCTGGCGCTGAGAGTGCCTTTATGGTTTGAGAGTGTTTATCCCTGTGGTTCTGGAAACCAGACCACTAGGTGTCTGTACATAAATTGTATTCCAGCACGTTTAATAAATCAGGTGGCTTAATCAAATAAAGACAAATGGCAATGGAATAGCTTAAATACAAATTTACAGCCAGGTAGCCATTAAAAACATTAGATATATTTTACTTTTACTGGGTTTTCTGACTTAGCCAACAATAAATTCAGTCATTTTTCACTTAGAGACATGGTTCAAATTGTCATTCAGTCCTATATATGTGGTCTTTTGAGGTTCAAGATGAATGTTTTTTTTTTCATCCAGCAAGGACTGACATCTTATTTTACAAGCTGTAGAGCTTCTTTCACTTTCTTAAAGGAGAAATTGGTGTGTTGAGGGAGAAATATAAAAATCCTTCCTTTGGTCTAGTTGCAGGTGTGTTAAGGACCAGTGTAGTCAACAACAGTACAGTCAAGACTTCCTTATTTATTTTTTTTTAGAAAGACTATGACAGTCAGTTGGGAAGAATGACACCAGCAGGGACAAGAGCAGTCCCAGGTACAAACCTTCCCCCTTTTGCACTGTGCGTCAGGCTGAGATTTCAGGAGTTCTCCATAGAGAGCATAGCATAGAACAGTCGAGGGCTGGTATTGTGTCTATTATCAGAGGATCTGTGGAAGCATGACAGATCCAGAGCCCACCTAAAAAAAAGATGAAAGCACACAGGGTTGTTTTATGCCCAGATATCACATCCTGACACGCAGTCATGATGTGACCACAATAGCTGGAAACACTGCACTTTTGGGTTGATGAATGGAGTGGATGCAGAAAATGATTACTCCTTCCCATGTCTCCCAAATCCATTTCATATAAAATCTTTAAGGTGAGGATGTATCAGATAATAAAGTGATAAGAAAAGATGATGCACTTGATCTTAGCCAAAAGCTGAGAAGTGTGCATTTGGGACAGGAGCTTCAGTGCATACTGCAGAGCACTTCTGCCCACTGAGGATGATATAGGATCAGCGCTTCCAAAGGCTGTTGACAGATCTAAAAGATGATACATAAAAGAATTATTTCTTCACCTGAGAAAGTAAGAAAATTGTACATCAATACAATTACAGTAGTTCATAGAGATAAGTGAAATTGCTGGGGTTTAAATTACTCTGGCAAAATTTCTAAGCAAAATAAAATAATTCTAGACTGTATTGTTTACCTCCTTAATATCTTTTATTTTTCTCATTTATAAATCTGCTGCCTCTTAGATAGTCAGCTCTATGCAAAATGAATTTTCTTGCTCACTTTTGGATAAAGGAAAAAGTAATCTGAATAACATTTTACCTGTTGAGAATTTATGAGGAAAAGATATTAATAATATTTCCATATGGCTGTAGACACTATTTCTGGGTTGTACATCAACCTAAAATCCAGGGTAGGTTAAATGAAGATTTAATAGCAAATTTCACATACAGTCTATCTCTAAATAAAAGAAAAAGTAAATCTGATTGTCAGATATATTTTAATAGATTAGGTTTGATCTGCTTCCCGCAGGCATGAACAAATAACCAGCTTAAACTTGACAAATTGTCTTTTATTTGGTACTTACTTCTTTCAAACCAATGCTACAATGTCCTTACTTTCCACTGGAATTATTTCCCAAAAATTACAGAACCTAAAGTATCATAAAAGCAATTTTCTGCTGCTGTTCACCCTTCTGCTATTGAGGAAAAGACAATGTGTCTAATTTTCATTTCTTTTCATACATGATTTCAGGTTTTCTTATGGTTATTTGTATCTGAGTATGGAGAAGGAAGAAAGTTGAATCTTTTACACAGGACTAGTATGTTTTAATACGTAAAACATTCTCTGGGAAATTATATACTTGGCTTCATATCATGTAGTCATCCAGTGCTAGTACTTTGGACCATGTTTTTCTTTAGTGTACAACTCAAAGACAAAATGCTGAGAAGAATCCTTGTTCATAGAAACATCTATTCCCCTAACTACTCTTGTTTTAATCACCTCCCTACGTTTCTGTTGTAGTATCTTGGAAGTAAGACACACATACACTAGCGAAGATCCCTCTGTTTTTATGTTTTGTGTTTATAGGTATGGACTTAGGAGGAAGGGATTAAAATGGAAATAAAAGAAAATTAAATTAAGAGATGAAGATTTACTCTCAGCTATGCAGTTCTAAAAACAGCAAGTGCAATACTCAGCAGAAATGTGAGCACACATCCCATAAACAAGTCATTCCAGACCATAGTCATCATCCCAAGGTGCACTTGAGCATCTGTTAAATATTTTATATATGGTACTTATATTTACAAGTAGCTCTCTGAAAACCTAACAAGAGTATCAGAAAGACCATAAAGGAGGAAATGTTAACATGGAGCTTCAGGGTGATCTCACATGACTTGGGCCCATGTAATGCAGTGGGCATTTATGGATCCTATAAATAGATGGTGAACTATTTTTAAAGTATCTCTCTGCTTCTGTGCTACACTGAATATATTACCAAGACTTTTTGGTTGATTATTGGAACCCAGCAATGTATCTGACTAGATCCTTGCTGGGATACCTTCAAGATCTGACATCCTTCTTCCCTTTAGAACTCAAGGAAACAGTTAAATATATTTGTTTCCTTTCAATCTCTGTACTTGCATATGAGTCACACAGAATTTGTTTTACTGTCCTGTCTGTTGTGGTCCATCTTGTACTTAATTCTCATTATGACATTAAAAAGTAAAATATTATATTCTATTTTGTCCCAAAAAATTAACATCCTGCTTTGTACTGGGCTGCAGGGTCTTCAGAAAACAGTTTCTCTTTAAAGCAGGCTTCACAATCCTTGGTGCCTTTATGACTGTTTTGTACCTAACCAGTCTCTGACATGGTGTGACCAGCTTATTGGGAATGCTCCGAGTGAATGTTTTGTTTCAAAACTCAGCACTCCTTATTTGGTCTTTTGATTTTCATGGAAAAGGACCAAGAACATGAGCAACTTGAAAAACCTTGTTTGATTTCTATGAATATTCCTTAGCCTTTTTTCCCCAAGAGCCCAAGGCTAGTAATGAAATGTTACCATTTGAATGTACCTGGAAAATGTTCAATATAGGAATATGATGAGGCTTAACAAGTAGGCAAAACCGTTAAACTTGGACTTTCCTGCTTCATTACTCCTACAATTTTATTTCTTTCTCTAGTAAAAATACCCTCCTTTTAGTACTGATCTATCCAGTTCCTACCTTTTGTCACTGTGAATATGCAGCCCAGACAATTCACCAATTACACAGGAAAACAGATGGAAGGAATCTACATATCCTTACTTGTTGTTTCTAGGAGATTGCCATTGTCAAAAAATTCTGATCATGATCACATTACTATTTAGTGACCAACTTACTATAATCTTTAAAGTGTCTTTTGCATCTTGACTCCATGTTTCTTAGTGCATGAAAGAGCAGGAACAAGTTGGGTCAATCTGTTGTCACTTGGCACCTTGAATTATTGCATAACTTATCATCAGCCAAGACTGCTAATATTATGTATGCATTTATTTCTTTCTCATGAGTGTGTTGTTGCTGACATTGCACAAATAAGACATCCCACAGCCCTTTCCACCACTCTGATTCATACCCTTTTTTCAGTCACTGAAACAATTCACACATCAGTAGACAGTGAAGGAGAGGTGCTTGTGAGTACTTGTGAGTGATCAGAGTTTTGCCACACTCTCTCTCTCTCTCTCTTAGAGAAGTGATTTTCTTCTCAGGTGCTTTTTTGGTTGGCATGGTGAATCATAGGCAATCAGCAAGAATGCTCTCAGGTATATAGTCTGCATTTCAAACTTCGTGGGTGTTGCAAGTAGGATGACTTTGACCATTTTTCACATCACTTTCTTATCCAGATACTGCTGCACAAAGCGTCTAAGTGCACGATTTGATCATTATCTCCTGCTGTGACAGTTCCCTTTCTCTCAGAGTTTTTCCTTCTGCTAATCTGGGGGTTTGATTTACAGATTATCAAGGACTTCCCTTTCTATTTATGATTTGTACCTGGGCAATACTTAACCTACTTCTCTAGAGCAGTTTTTTTCCTCACAGGGAACACGAGTCTGAAAGAAGTGAGAACACTTTTAAGTGAGAGGCAGTTTAGACTTTTTGCTCTGAGAAGAAAGCAGAGTAGCCACTTTTTATTAAGAGAGTGTCTTAATGTTTACATTCCAGAAGAAATGATGGAGCTTGAAAACCTAACAACTGTGAGATTCCTTCTTTGTTTTGTGTACTGGAGAACTTTTCATCCTCTGGGAATGGATAAGAAATTATTCAGAGATTTTTTCACCTTAGTGGTGTCCTCAAAATTCCAGGAAAGTAACAGATGGAATCTGTACCTCAAATTCTGTTTAATGCGGGATTACTATAAAAATAGATGAGAAAGATAAATATTCTTCCTCAAAATTTGCAGGGCAGATTTTTTAGCTCAGTGATATCTCATGGGATGTAAATCCTTCTATCCTGGAGTATTTTCTCAGTTTACATGTTTGTAAGTCAAATAAATTTTCGCTTCCACCAAGTTTGTTTGAATTTAATTATGTTTCTGACAGGTAAAACAGGATTTAAGAACATTTTAATATTTATATCTGAGTGTTCAAACATTTTATTTTATAAAAAATTTCTTTAAAGTGTCACTCAGAAGTGAATCAAGAGATTAAAAAATAAGCTTTACACAAAATATCTTGTGACTGCTGCTTTTCAAGTGGTTTTCTAAATTTAGATTTTCTGTGTTCAGATCATCTGATAAGTAATTTTCCTAGTTTTCTGAAAATAGGGAAGGCTATTATTTTTCTCTGAGCTTCAGTCTCACCCAAGTAAACACCTGAATATTTTGTCCTTGTCTTTTTTTTGCTCTTGATTTCTGCAGGGAAATTGTGAAATTCCACAACTCATCTCTCCAACAGTTTTTTATTATTTGATATTCAATTTCCTGCTGTAATCTCTTACAGACTTCCAGCCATTATTTTCATATGGCCACTTTCACAATTACATGTTGTGATAACTTAGGCAAATTATAGATAAGAGTGATGCCCATAGGTAGTGTTCAAAATATTTTGATACTTTACCTCTTAGGGATTTATAGACTTAAATTCTTTTATAAATGGCTTGTAACATTTCATGGTTTCTCATGTGCTAGATAGAGGGGCAATATTTGAACACTTTCCAGAATTATGCACATACTGGAACACAGCTGAGATGATGAAATAAGAAAAATGCCTCAAATTTTAATAAGCATTAAAAAGAAAGGTAGTTGCCATGTTTCTTATGATTTCAAAGTCATGGATACTGGAAAAGTGCATCTCAGGTGAACAAGAACAATGGCTAAAATTTCCTCTTCTCTCTTAGTGCTGCATGGTTTGTTATCAGATAGTAAATGTGTCATCTTTTTTGTTACACTGTAAAACTTATTTAGGGTTCAACTATATTGCCCTAAGTTTTTTCTAATTATTTAATGAACATCTTGTACTATACATTATACATTTGCTGGAAAAATATTTTCTGGGCTATTAATATATTAAAATTAAAATGATCATATTTTGTCTCATCATATTAATGAGATATATTATCCCAGGATTGTGAGAATCTTGCAACTGCTTAAAGGGCTGTAGTTTTTTATTTTCAGTTTGACATAATTCAAGCACAAAGTCATAGGCACTAGTACAAAGCCGTAGTACTTAAACCAGCTCTTCTAGCTTTCAGTTGTCTTTGTTGTCTTTAGGAGGTTAGTATTAGACTAGACTTTTAGTTGATATAAGCAAATATTCTCAATTTACTTTCTACAACATAAATTCCTAAGTATGGCTGATGCAATACTTCTATTTTTATATCAGATTGTGCTATAAAAGCAGTGAACTGAGGTCTAAACTTCTATGAGCCAGTCTGAAGCAATGAGAAGTACTTCAATAGA